GACTCCATTTAGTTAGCAAGTATTTACTGAAAACCCACTCGGTTCTAGGTCTTATGCTGGGCACTATGTATGCGGGGATGATTTTTAAAAATTTTTATATCCTCTTATAGACGAGTCAGATCCTGCTGAGTAATTCAATAAAATTTTTATATCCTCTTATAGACGGCAGTCAGATCCTGCTGAGTACTCAACATTCTTCAGAGCCTAGAGTGCCTTGTCTGGAAAGCCAGCTATTGTTATGGAGTTAAAGCCAAACTACATTTAATATCTGCTGGTTGGTAAAGGTGATACAGGTATGTCATTGAATAAGCAATTTTGTTCTACAAATGTTTGTGTTGGCTTCAGTTAGTTCCATGATGGCCCATGTCCTACACTGGCCTGATTGATGAACCTAAATAACTTTTAATAGGATGTCACTTTGGTTTTATGACTGTCACTTTCCCATTTGAGGTAGTAGAGCAACAGTTTAAGAGCGCAGGCATACAGCCTACAGGATTGGCTTGAGAAGCTAATATTATGTTGGGAAAATCATATAACTAGACATCAGGACACATGGATTATGGGTTCAGCTCTGATATTCAATATTAACTACGGAATATTGTCATGTCTTCTGATACCTCATTTTTCTCACAGGCAAAAGGATGAGGTTAGACTAAGTGATGGTTAAGATCACTTATAAAATCCTAGAGTTCATGGAAAACACAAACCATGACTAGTGCTTTTGGTCAATTTACGAGATTGGTTGTTGACTGTAGATAAATCCCTTAATTTTGTTGTCTTTGTTTTCTGCCTTCTAATGGCTTTGATAATTCCTGGTGTGCCTAATTTATAGAAATTCCATGAGGATTTAGTGAGATATTGGGAATATAAGTGTTTGAATAATTAACGCATTACATGAACACAAGATATTATTCGTACTGAAAGTTAACAGAAAGATGTCGAAGCCGTTACTCTTCCCTCCCTCAAAAAAAAAAAAAAAAAAGACTTGAGTTAAAAAGGAGTTTGATCCCCGTCAGCTGTTTCCCTGGAGTTTATGGAACTCTTGGAACTCTACAGGTCAATAGGGCTTTGTCCTGCTGCGGTCAGTTCTACAGTTGGGGTAAGGCTGCCACACTTTTTCTCCTGACAACACTTTATCAAACACACCCGCCTTACAAATGCGGTAATTCATTAGACAAAAGTGAGGTTTTGAGTTACAATAACCTCCACTTTGTTAAAAGCCCCCTCGGAATCTGAGATCTTCTCCGTAGGCCAGCAGACGTGCACGTGTCCCCCTGGCTTACAAAGGCCTTACAAACTTAGCCTGATAAGTCATCCCCAAATTCGTGGTGCCATGTCTGTCTTCTGAGTGGGGATATTTTTAACTCCTCCTTCTAACTCCTCTCAGTTCCTTTAAGGAAGCGGTAATCCAAAGGGTCAGGCCCTTGGCTTTTACTTAGGGGAAAACTTTGAAAGAATTTCTGAGGCTCCCTCTGGGGTAGGGTTGGCTTTCCCCAAAAGAATTGGCTCCTTCAGAGCCGCTTCCTAAGGTTATTAAGGGCTTGGTGTGAGGCCTCAGGCACCAGTTGACGGCCGTGTCTTCCCCACGACAGATGGTCAAGCTTTCAATTTCAGCAAGTGATCCACTGTTGAGGAGGGAGGCGGGCACTTGCCAGCATGCCATGATTAGCCAGCTAGGGTAACAGAGATCTGGTGTGTGCCCGGTATAGCTTTGTGCTAACGATGGGCTGACAGGCGCCTGCCCTGCTCATCTTTGAGGCAGAAGACTCTGCCCTTGATTCTGTTTCTCCCCGGCAGAGCTGGTGTCCTGTTTGCCTGTTCTCAAAATTCATTTTGGCACCAGATGGACCCTCATGGTGGCTAGTGCTTGTCTGACTTGAAGCCAGAGGGTGTGCTGACAGCTCCTTCTAGCACAACCTGAATCTGGCTGTCGGGTCTGGGCTCAAATGGCTTAAACATACACAGGCGGCAAACATTACCAAACCCTGGGGAAGCAAGCAGGGGGCCTCTGGAGGAGAATGGCAATGATGTCTACTCTCCATAATGTTCACATTGCTGTTGTTTGGTGGAATCATGATACTAATAATTACTCTTAGTAGTTGATTAGTTTATTTACTCTTATTAGCAAAATTGCTGTTATAAGTAATGATTAAGTTATCAATGGTACAATTAGTATTAACATCATTACTGCACTACTTCTGTCATTACTAAAATTACTATATCATGATGGTTAAGAGTACAGTCTCTGGAGCTACACTGTCTGAATTTGAATTGAACACTGAGGTTCAGGGAATTGTTGAAATTTACCCAGGCTTGTCTTATCCTCCAATGCAAGCTCTTGCCCAGTATACTCTACTGCTGCCTTTACTGTAAAAAAACGCCTCATTTCTACCCTGAGACCCTAGATCTCCATTTTGTTGAGCAAGTATTTACTGAAAACTCACTCGGTTCTAGGTCTTATGCTGGGCACTATGTATGCAGATGATTTAAAAATTTTATATCCTCTTATAGACGAGTCAGATCCTGCTGAGTAATTCAATTAATTTTCCTTTTTGGGGAGTCCAGAGGTGCCTTCCTAGCTTTTGGGCAAGTTATTTCACTGTGAATCTCAGTTTCCTTATCTATAAAATGGGATTAATAGCAGAGGTTACTTAGGAGGGTTGTATGAGAAAATGGATTTGTTCTTAGCATTGAACTGAGCACAAGGTAAGCACCCAATACATGGAAGCCATTTCTTATGACTGCCGCCACCAACGTATCTACCGTGTATCTGTTACTCTGCATTATCTCTTATTCACAATTTCCCCATACAGTAAGGCCTGTTATTATACCAGGTTATAGATAAGGAAAGTGTGGTGCAGAGAAGTTCAGCTCCTTATCCAAAGTCACACAGGTAGTACCTGTCAGAGTCAGGATATGAATCTCATTATTCTGGGTGTTTCTAATGACTGTGGCCTTTCACCATATCACACCCAGTCTTGTTGTCAATTTAGTGATAATCAGCCCTCTCCTGGGGCTTGAGGTAGCTTAGAAATATGCCCTTCTAACTGGTTGTTCTAGAAAGCAGCAGCCAGTTTTCATGTCTTCAGTGTCTATGGATATAGGATTGAACCCCATCAAGATATGAGGATCACAACTATCAGCTCCACTGTATTAAATAGTTTCTGAAAGCCATGCGTGATCAGCAGGGCTACCCAGCACTTGCCTTCCGAGAGCTCAGATCAATAAGACATTGTAAAGGCACTTAGGATTTGGGCCACTCCCTCAATCCCCCTTCCTGTACCAAATCTATCATATTGAAAGTGAGCAGGAATCAGTGACTGGCTGATTGTCTTGTGCAAGGACAGTGTGGGTCTTGGAACCAGGAAAGGGGAGCTCAAAACTGGATTTTGTTTCACACAGCTGGGCTTCAGCAGTGTTCTGTATGCCATTTGTCTTGGACAAAGGGTTGATCAACTTTGGCTTCTGTGGAGAGAATCTGGAAGTAGTGGCAAGTGATTATTTAGAGGCCTGCTTTCATTGATGGGCAGTCCAATGTTGTGTGGTGTTCAAAAGTCATTTTAGGAAGATGTTTGCATGTTTAAATGTTACTCTGTTGATTGAAAAAACCATTGTTTGTCTCTAAAGAATGATTGCCACAACATATTCCCATCTTGGCAGATTCTAAGAGACCACGGAGGAGAGGGATTCATCTGGGACTTCTCTCAGTTTCATGTTCAGAAATTGGCTGAACTCTGTATATCTTTGTGTAGTGCCCTTGTTATAGAGGACCCCAGTGTTACATGATTGACAGACATTGCAGTCAGAGCCAAATTCAGACTGAGGCATCATGGGGTGATAGTTCTTCATAATCTATTTGTGTTGAGGTAGAGATTTTACTCCAGTGTGGACTTGAAGTGGAAGAAAGGGGAAGAGAATTGAATTACAACAAGAATTCAGTTGACCAGCATTTTAATGCATTTTGATATTTTTAGGGAACATTTGGGCCTGAAATCCACAAGCACGTCACATCTAGGCCTGGTAGTAAAAGAGATGGCAAAACTTAGGTATCTTTGAAAATACTTCTTTTCCCAAACCTGGGCAGGTAGAGGGTTTAATTACAGGTGGCCGACATGATTGCCCGAATATGACACTTTTAGTAGCTGCTGCTTTTCCATGATAGACTTTAACAACTGTGATGGTTACATAAGAAATAACTCAGAAAGTTATAGGGTGACCATATAATTTATCACCCAAACCGAGACATTTTTGAGAGTTAAAGTAGGCACTATTAATACATACACCAGTATGGCTGGTATAAACTGGGATTTTTCTTGGCAAATTAGGACCTTTGGTCACCCTAGCGAGTAAAACCCATGAATCTCACTATAGAAGCAATTCAGACACCAAGGTGGCAGTGAGGCAGGAAAATCTTTATTCAGTCACAGCTAGCTCTTGTCTACAGCAGACAGTTAAAAAAAAAAAACATTCAGGAGCTATTTGAGAAGTCAAAGGAGTTTAGTTTGTGAATTTTCCTTATTTCTCATGGGTACTACTAATTGAAACATTTTACTTGACAGACTAAGATAAAAAGTGTTTACTAAATCCTTGTGTTCATCCACCATGTATTTGCCAGTTCATCATCTGTGAGTTTATAGGGCTTAAATTCCATGTTGTTGTTGAGGACCATGAGTAATTCTCAGACAGTTATGTCCAATTGGAACCTATCTTAAATTATGATGAAAGCCTTCCCTCTGTATGAGTGAAAATACTTCCTTGGAACTTGATTCTTCTGTGAGATCTGTTGGCAGTGCTGAGAGTGTTTGTGTCATAAAGAAGGTCCAGCGTGGATACAAAACAAAGGCTAAGGCCACAGATTAAATACTGGCTCTAACACCATGCTGAATATTTCAGAAAACATGTAAAGAGAATCAAATGCACAACCCAGGGGTGACTTACCTCTTTTTTCCCTCCCATGTCAGAAACCGAAATGCTAACCGTGATGATTTGTTTCTTCACAGGTTCTTCTTGAAATTCTTCCTCAAATGTAACCAAAATTGCCTAAAGAATGCAGGAAACCCACGTGACATGCGGAGATTCCAGGTGGGTCTGACTTGTCTTTCTTGAATCTCAATAATGGCATGAATATCAGGACAGGATAAAAAAGTCTTAGGTGGAAGATATGTAGTTGTTTTCCCAGAGGCAAAGAGCAGCTGAGGCCATGGGTCCCCCAGGTATCTGCGATCTAGGAGTTGTTTAGAAGAGAGAAGAGTGGAAACTGTACCACCTGTGCTCACTGGTTGCGACAGTGGTGTTCTTTGAGTCTAGTTTTGGCTTCCTGAATGGACTCACACACCTAAACCCCCAAAGATTAAAGTAAATAGAAATGATGCATTCTTTGCCTAAAATTTTGTATGTAGAAAACCAGCACATAAGAATAAAGAGGCAGGGTGCAGTGGCTCATGCCTGTAATCCCAGCACTTTGGGAGGCTGAGGTGGGCAGATTGAGGTTAAGAGTTCAAGACCAGCCTGGCCAACATGGTGAAACCCTACAGAAAAATAAAAAAGTTAGCTGGATGTGGTGAATTTGCCTGTTGTCCCACCTACTCAGGAGGCTGAGGTAGGAAGATCACTCGAACCCAGAAGGTGGAGGTTGCAGCTGAGATCATGCCACTGCACTCCAGCCTGGGTAATGGAGTAAGACCCTATACCACCCACCAAAAAATCAAAACAACAACCACAAAAACAACAACAACAACAAAAAAAAACAGTAAAGATTACAACTGATAAAACTGCTCTGCTTTACAGTTATGGTTTTCTCTTCCTTTGCTTCTCTCTGCTCACCTCTTCCAATCTTGGAAATTGTTAGTGGTAGCTGCCTATTGTAAATGGGCAGAGATGTTAGGAAACATAACATCTCTAAAATGATATGGATAACAGTTCTGTTTCAGAAATGTCCTTAATTGTACATTTACTAAAGGAAGAGGACTCACAAACAAATGCATTTACTTCTTTTTTTTTTTTTTTTTCCCGAGACCGAGTCTCGCTTTGTCGCCCAGGCTGGAGTGCAGTGGCACCATCTTGGCTCACTGCAAGCTCTGCCTCCCGGGTTCATGCCATTCTCCTGCCTCAGCCTCCCCAGTAGCTGGGATTACAGGCGCCTGCCACCATGCCTGGCTAATTTTTTGTATTTTTAGTAGAGACGAGGTTTCACCAAGTTAGCCAGGATGGTCTCAATCTCCTGACCTTGTGATCCGCCCGCCTCGGCCTCCCAAAGTGCTGGGATTACAGTCGTGAGCCACTGCGCCTGACCTGTGAGCCACTGCGCCCAGCCGCATTTACTTCTAAGACATAAAATGGTTCTTGGATTTTAGGAAAGGTTGTTGAGTCTAGACGTGGTGCTTCTCAAACTTAAAAGCACTGAAAATCCCCTGAGGATCTTATTAAAATGCTAATAGAGGTCTGGGGTGGGACTGGAATTCTGCATTCCTAACAAGCTCCTGTATGATGCCAAAGCCATGGCCCACACTTTGAGTTGCAAAGTTTTAGACCCTTGTGCTGCTCTCCACCTAATGGCATGGCTAAATTATTTGCATGGTCAATGTTAGTTTCCCTGTCAGAGCAACGATCCATTTATGTATGCTCATATGGTCCATCAGGGAAACAGAATGGTGTTTAAAGTATGCTTTTAAGTGTATTTAGTCAGCTTTAAGTGTAGATTGAAATGTATGATCTCTGAGAGGATCTTGAAAAATGTTAGCTGCACCTTCATTCTCTGATGGGAAAAAGGAAAGATGATCTTGAGCGTTGATTGGGGATATCAATATCTCTTAGTCTCCAAGATGATTTATTTTAAGGAGGTGAGACTTACTAGTCTCATTAAAGAACAAATGCAGTAGAAAAAAAGTCACGTCTCCTGAGATTCTGAGGTATTTCTCTAAAATCATCATCTTGGCCTCACCACCTTTTGTCTTGACACACAAGAATGGGGAGGTTTCTTTTTTTTTTGAGATGGAGTCTCACTCTGTCACCCAGGCTGGAGTGCAGTGGGGCGATCTTGGCTCACTGCAAGCTCCGCCTCCCAGGTTCACACCATTCTCCTGCCTCAGCCTCCCAAGTAGCTGGGACTGCAGGCGCCTGCCACCACACCTGGCTAATTTTTTTGTATTTTTAGTAGAGACGGGGTTTCACCATGTTAGCCAGGGTGGTCTCGATCTCCTGACCTCATGATCTACTCGTCTCGACCTCCCGAAGTGCTGGAATTACAGGTGTGAGCCACCACGCCCAGTCAGGAATGGGGAGGTTTCTAGTTTCTTGGAAAATGTTTCCTCTGGTCATCTTCTGACTTCAAACTTGGTGTTCTCATTCCCATAGAGGATTTTTTTGTGTTACGTTTGAGTCAGCTTTGCAATTAAGCTGGCAAAACCACACATGTGGTGCTATAAGTGTGTGTTGCTTAGGGTCTCGCTACATGAGGCTGAAGTTTGGAATAAACTGTTTTGTAGCTTGCTTTGGTCTTGACTTGAGCCTTATATTTCTTTTGACCAAAGCTTGGGTTAGGAACAAAGTATAGCTGGGCATGAAACAATGTATGTCTAAGAAACATGTCTAACGCCTAATGTATACCAGGATTAACTCTGCTGTACCTCTTAGGGCAGCAGAGTTTGGGATGGACTTTGATGACATTGGAAACCTAAAAGAGCATTCATGTAGAACTTCCAGGGGCTCTCTTTTCTTTGTGGAACCTACTAGTAAAATGTCTAAAAAGGTTGAATTATAGAAATACACCTCTTATACAAGATGAGAAACCAATTTAGTCTATTATTTTTGAGAGCATCTACAAAGCTTCTATTTTGCAAATGAAATAGTTATTCTTTGTTTAGTGGAAGGGCTGCTGAGAGGAGGAGGCATAACATAGATATCTGGAAAGTCTTACAATCCTTTGGAGCTTCAGTTTCCTGAACTGTAAAATGGAGTAAAAATGACGATTCTGCTTATATCACTACATATGAAAGAAAGCATTATTTTGCGTGTATAGCTAATTTGTAAGTGATAAAATACAAATGCAAGCCTTTGGAGAAAATCTATGTGATAAACTGAAGATGGATCATGAGTTCAGTCTAGGGTTTCTCAACCTGGGCACAGTTAACATTTGAGACTGGATAATCCTTTTATGGGGGAATTGGGGGTGCCCCCATGCATTATAGGATGTTTAGCAGTGTCAGTGGCCTCGACCCTCTAGATGCTAGTAGAGAACATCTACCTCCAAATCATGACACCCAAAAATGTCTGCAGACATTGTCAAATGTCCCCCGGTGGAGAGGGAAGAGGCAAAATGGCCCCTGACTGAGAACTACTGAGTTAGTATATCTAATAACCTCTGACAAGCTCTTACTGGTGACAGTGCCACTGTCCCAAAAAGTGCACACTTTGATTAAGCGTGAGAGCTGCCTAGCACAAAGTCCATACTGTCTTTCAAATAAATATGATTTATCTGAACTCTGACACTGACAATGCTCTTGCCTGTGATTCTCAAATGGGTCCTAAAATAGATCAATAGGGGCAGCTACCTTGGCCACCATAGAGTCAGTTTTTGAGTTAAAGATGAGCCATGTCTTTCTTTACTAACAATGACAAATTCCTTATCAGATCTCAGGTGTAACCTGCTTTGTTTCCCATCACCCACTCTTTGCCGCCTAGAAGAGGATGGAGGAACCCATGGCAGAATGAACATGGACACATTTTATTTTGTATCCCTATACATTAATACATTTCTTTATTATTTTTACACAATCAACATTGGCTTTCATGCATGCAGGTACATAGATATTTGTGTAATTAGAGGATGGATGAATTGCCTCAAGAGTTAAAGCAAAACCTCAAATCTCTCTAACCCAACCTTTTATTGTTTCTTCTTCAGTCTTTCTCTCTTTCATGACTATTTACTCCTACCTCTCTCTGTATTATTTCATGCTGGCAGCCATTACACACTTTTTGAATCCATTTTTTTTCTTGAATTATGTAACAACAGTCGCTTATTCTGAACTCCCTACAAGGGATACTATTTGTTTGCCTTTCTAAAAAAGTTGGTGTTCTCCTAGTCTCCTTCTGAGGTTCAGATCTTTTCCCATTTTATAGGTTCTTTCTAGTATCTTCTCCACTCACAGCATCTTAACCACTATTTATGCATTGAGGACTCTGGCATCAGAATATCTGAGACCTGACACCCAGGTTTAGATCTAACTGTCCAGATGTCTGCTGGATATTTCCAGGAACTTCAACTCAGTCAGCCCCAAACTGAACTCACTGTCATCCTCAGGTGTTTTTCTGTTTGTTTATTTTGCCTCCATCCCAAGCTTCTTAGGTTCTCTGTCTTGGTTCATTCCTAACTGCATTAAATGCTGGGAAGATGACTGTGTCTATATTCAGCATGTTCCATGTTCACGTGTATAAATGCATGTGTCCATGTGTTTACCTTTATGTGCTTCTATTTATATTGGTAACGATGATGATGATAAAGCTAACATTTATTTGGTGCTTCTTTAGTGAGAGGCATTGTGCAAAGTATTTTACATGAGTTACCATGTTTATCTTCAAAATACCCTTGTTAAGAATATGGAAATGTGGATTATTCCTGTTTTAAAAATGAGGAGACAGATTTAGAACAGTTAAGCAATTTACCCAGAGTCACACATCTACTGAATGGTAAGGCAGTGGTATAACCCAAGCAGTCTGACTCAGATATTTTCTGATGTTTTGGAACAAAAAAGAAATTGTCCATAGTCTGTAAGCAGATATTTAGTGAGGCTTTAAGGAGATCTTGCAACATCTGAGAGCCATAATGACCCCCCATAAATATGTACCGGAATCCCAGGAAAGCCTGAGAGGGATCTTCAAAAGAGGTATTTGTCCCAATAGAGCCTAAAGGTGCCATCTGCATAAAGAACATTGACACACAACCAAAGTTCCTCATGCAGAGGGTAGAGTTGTGTGGAAGTGAGGGAACATGAACATTTTTCCAGAGTACAGCTACAGTGTTTATCAATTTTTACTTGCAGGGATTTTAGAAAAACAAGCTATTATTTAGCAGGCAATGTGAGCTT